CCAAGAAGTTTTCCATAGAAACAAGACATACATATAAACCCTAGCCCTCCGGGGGTCTCTTCCACTAGCAATTAGAGACCACCACTTGGTCTGTAGGGTGGCCTTTCTTTTCTTACTCACTCTCTGCTAAATAAACTTACTTTGACTTTAAACTATGTATGGGCTTACGTTTGAATTCTTTCCTACGTGAAGCCAAGAACCTTCTTAGCCTAGGGCTTGAGTCACCACTCCGGGGGAGTCAAGCCCACATCACTCTACTTTGAAGATATTGGGGTTAATATTGCTTCCAAACAATGCTTTTCCTTCCAGAGGGATTATAAAAAGCAGAAACACAGGCTTAATGATGTGAAAGGTAAGGACTTTAGGATATTTAACAATCTATAAATGTATAAGGGCAAGCGAAAATGAAGATGTGTGTTAGATAAGTGTCACCCCAAATCCACACCCTAAGTGATAACCATTTTATTGTCAGAATGGCATATGGAATATACCGAATGCAAACTCCATGATGGTGATGGTTACCTACAAAGGACAGATAACCAACACTAGGTATGACAATTATTAATTTCCCTGGAGCAGTGAATGTGAAAGGATGAACAAATGAGATGCACTAATACAGAAAGCAACAATTAAAATGTTAGAGAGAGAAGTTAGGCTTTCACCTGCAGACATCACCAAGAGGATGAGAACAAAGGAATGAAAGAAAATTTACAGAAAGTCTAATGAATGAGGTGCAAAACATGTTGGCATAGGGGATTCAAAGTCTACTGTGGAAGGAAACAAAAGCAAGTCAGAAAAAACAGGTTTAGACCAAACAAAGAAGATTGTACAAGAAAAAATACCACTGTTATTAAAGCAGAAAGATACATATCTCATCATTTCTCTACCATAATAAGAATACATCCAAAACCAAATGCTAGCCCAGCATGCTGTTTCAATTTTGCTGACAAAATAAATGATGCAGCCATTAAGATCTAAAATGTAATTATTGCAAGACCTCAACAGTTTGTGGTTAAGCTAAATTCAAAGCGGAAATGATGTGTGTGGAGGCAGGAAATTAGTATTTAATGGAAAGACATTGGTAATATAAATTAGACAATTAGACCAAAGATTTGGAAAAGAGCTTTAAATCCACAGCTAACTTGATATTAGCAGCTAAAATTAAGTAACAGAGTTCAGTGGATCATCAAGAAAAATTAACTATAAATCAGAAGGCATTAGAATAGCAAGGGTCACTAATTCAGTTGATGTGACCGTGTGTCACACACAGCAGAATGGAAATATGGTTATGCAGAGGTGGTAGAACAATGTTTAATCAGTCAGTGCTAACAAGGAATTTCAAATATATACAATGTAAAAGAAAAAAATCTTACTTTTGAATATGTAAAGTTAAGTCACTATTTTTAAAATATTCTCTCCAGTTATTCTGGGCATATATTAACCATATGGTTAGTCCTTCATAAATAATTAACCCACCTTAAAGAAATCATATGAATATACATTTTATTCCAAAATTATAAAGAAAACAGTTTACATGTTATGTAGAGAGGCATTAACCATGTACTTTGAGAGTTTTGCATTGTTCTTCCCCATTACTTCAAAGGCCCTCCCTCACAGATCTTTTGTCAATGGAAAAACAATTTGCTCAAGTCTTCTTAAAATAAAAAGCAGTAAGAAGAAAATTTAAATTTAAAATTTAAAATTGAAAGGCTGTAATTTAAAAGATATGAATCACTTTGTAGACGAATTCTAACAAGTGTCCCTGAAGATGTGCCTGTAAGGTAACTTCTGTATTCTAAGTCTCATGTCATAGAAAAATGTCCCTATAGAAATAAACCTGGATAATAAGTCATGCCTAAGAATATAGAAACCTTTAAAATTGCATTTTCTCTATAATATATAAGGATCAACCTAAAAACAAAAGAAATATATAACCCATTAAATATAGTGATTATTTTGATATTTAGTTTTTTTAATGGCATGAAGACAGAGAACACAATGGTTTAACGTCCCTCTGCATCTATCCAATAATTCTTTCACCAGAATTTATAACAGAAATAACTTACAAATAATTTATAGGTCTCTTTGATTAATCAGACCCTGTTTTTTCATGCAATTTATAAGCCCCGAAAAGAAAACAACAACAGGCTGATATGAACTAAAAGGATGGAGGAGATGAATTGGCAATGGTTCACAATTCAGCAGTATCATATGAGCAACTTGAGAGGCACAGTTATCAGGATGTATAAAACAGTAAATGATAATGGGGAGTGTATATAATGAATCAAACAGCCAAAGAGACCGACACTGACAAATGAAGCCATGGGCTTTTCTGGCATTGAATTTTCCTTCACAGGATTTTGTGGACACTGAGTTACATCCAGGTTCTACCAGCTTGTTGGTCTTCTCACTCCTATTTCTTATTGACTCCTTAAGCTACTACACAAAGACATCTAAGCTTGAGCTTCATAAATTCACTTCATCCCAGAGAGAAGCCTACCATTTTCACCGAGTCACTCAAAGCTTCCCACTGCTGGAATGGCATCGACACCTGGCTCCTCCGCCAGTGGTCATAGCGGGCTCGGCTCTCTTCATTAGTCAGAATATCCTTTGCCTTCTGCAGTTTCTGAAAAGTCTCCACTGGAAAACAAATCAAAACATGAGCACTGCTCTCTTGGAGGAGTTAATTTAAACTCTCAAACTGATCTCACTGGAATATTTCTCTGTTACTTATTAGCGATGTGACCTTGGGCCAGTTCACCTCGTCAAATTTAGTTTCCTCATTTGTCAGGTGTATCCTCAGGTCAAGTGAGATCAAGTATGTCAAGTGCCTGGTTGACAGTTTATCCACTTCCTTTACGGAGCTACAGGAACGTGCCAGGTGCTGTGCCAGGCACTGATGACACAAGTATGAACAATGGACATGATCTATTTCGTGGAATAGACATTTATAAACATTGGGAAAATTACAATTTTGTCTACTAGGAAGAAAACTACCTTCTCTAGGAGTAATTGTCCAGGAGGGTCGTGACCAGGCTAGAGGAACACAATAAATAAAAGCCCTGAGGCAGGGTGATTTAGAGCAAGTAGAGGATTGCCAGTATGGCTGAAGGACACAGTACCAGAGGAAGAACAGTGAGGGATGGGGCTGTAGAGTAGACAAGGGCCTTAGAGGTCATGCTAAGGATTCTGGTCTGTTGTTTTTTGTTGTTGTTGTTGTTGTTGTTGTTGTTGTTGTTGTTGTGAGAGCAGTTGGAAGCTACTGGGAAGTTTTCAGCACAGGAAGCAACATGGGAGATGGCTGATAGATGGTAGCTTTGTCGTTGATCTATTTGACCAGATGGCATACAACAGACACCTTTCCTGGCCCTGTCGAAAACATTTCCAATGTCACTTCTGCTCCTCAGTGAAGTTAAAACTTTCTACAGAGCAGGATAGAAGATCAATCTACAAAAATCAATTGTGTTTTTACACATTAGCAGTGAGCAATCTGAAAATGAAATTAAGGAAACAATTCCATTTATAGTAGCATCAAAAAAAATACTTAGGAAAAATGCTAACAAAAAAGTGTTAAGACTTATACACTGCTGTGTACTAAGTAGGTAAGCCTACAATGGTTCCATCCGTACTGAACATGTAGACTTTTTTTTCTTGTCCTTATTCCTGAAATAATATAGTTTACATATCATTTACATTGAATTAGTTATTATGATATAATTAGGTACATTGTATGCAAATACTATGTCATTTTATATAAGGGACCTCTGGTATCCACAGAGGTCCTGGAACCAATCCCCTATGGAAACCAAGGGACAACTGTATACACTCAAAATAACTGAAAACATATGTTCACATAAAAACTTGTACATGGATGTTCATAGCATTATTCCTACTAGCCAAAAAGTAGAAACAAGTCAAAACTCACAAATGTCCATCAACAGATACATGGACAAACAAAATGTGCTATATCCGTATAATCGAATCATCATTCAGCCACAAAAAGAAATGAAGTACTGATACATGCTACAACATGGATAAGCCTTAAAAACATTATGCTAAATGGAAGAATCCAGTGACAAAAAGCTACACGTTGCATGATTCCATTTATATAAAATATTCAGAATAGATAAATCTTGAGATAGTAAGCAGATTTGTGGTTGCCAGGGGATGGGCAAGGGGAAAAGGATGTGATTGCTAATGAGAAGAGGGTTTCTTTTTCTTTCATAACCACCTTGTGAGGTGGATATTATTACTATTATTCCCATTTCAGAGCAGCTAAGTCTGAAGAAGGTTAATATAACTTGCCCAAAGTCCCAAAGCTTCACATGATGGAGCCATGATTCCGACCCAAGCCTGTCAGGCTCCCCAGCTGATGCTGTCCATTTGACTGCCTTCCTCACCCTTCCACTTTCCTATAATGCGTGATACCCTCTAATCCTCACTTTCTCTTCCACCTTCAGGAATAATAAAAACATCATTCATCAATAAGATCCAGGTTGCACTCTTGAGAAGCTCAGAGTCTAGTAAGGAAGCAGACATATAAACAAATCATTTCAATACAATGTGATAAATAGACATAGAGGCAAGATTGGTTCTGCTTAAGGAGTCAGGAAATACTGCATTAGTTTTCTATACACCTGGAGTCATCCTTGACTCTCTTTCTCTCACAAATCACTTCTAATGCATTAGCAAACCTTGTTGGCTCTACCTTTAGTATATTCCCATGATCTGACCTCTTGTCATCACCTCCATTGCCACTGCTCTGGTCAAAGCCATGATCCTCTCCTGGCTGGATTATTACAGTAGCTTCTCAACTGATCTTCCTGCCTTTGTCTCAGTCTATTTTCTACACAACAGTCAAGAGTAATCTTTTTAAAAATAAGTCATGTACTATCACTCCTCTGCTCAAAATGACTTGCAACAATGCTTCATTTCTCTTAAAAGAAAAAATTCTTACCAGGCTAGTAGGTCTGACATGCTCTACCTGCCCTCTACCTCTCTCTTCTTTCTCTGACCTCATTTCCTTCTGCTTTTCCTCATCTCCCCTTGCTACCGCATAGTAGCTTCTCTGCTGTTCCTTGAGCACACCAAGCACACTTCAGCCTCAGGGCCTTGGCACCTGCTATCCTTTCTACCAAGAACACTCTTACCCCCAGGCACTTATGTTACTTCCTTCAGATGTTGGCTCAGATGCCATCTTGTCTATGGGGTCTTCTCTGACCACGCCATATAAAATGGCAGCTCACCCCATCAGCCCCATTCCTTTATCTCCCTTGCCTTATTTACTTTTCTTCATAGCACTTACCCCCTGACATTATATAGTTGTTTGTTTGAGATCTGTGTCCTCTACCAGAATACAAACTCCATGAGGGCAGAGACTTTATCTCTTTTGTTCTCTGCTGTATCCCTTGCACTGGAGCAGTGGAGCAGGTGCTCAAAAAGTATTTCTTCGTGGAATAAATGAGGGAATGCTTCCTATTTTGAGTGGGAATATAAAGATATTCATGTAGTGCTATTCCCTGAGTGCCAAGCACCAAAGAAATGACATACATCCTTATAACATTTTGTGAATTAGGAATATTTTAATAGCATCATTGGGAAAAATAATTAAAATTACCCTCATAGTGCTTAAAAATAGCTCATAGAAAGTAGTCAAAATCCTTTAAAACAGATGTTAGGGCAAATGTGCAGTCAATACTGATGGTACCTCCACACCAACTGTGAAAATACTGAAATACTTCCGTACCCCAGCTGGTAATGAGCTGCTCTTCCTAAGCCCCTGTCCCCCAAATACCACCACTTCGAGTATTCCTCCAGCAACCAGAGCCACAGCCTGCTACAGAGGGCACCTCCAGGAACCTGCTCCAAAGCTGGGCAGCACAGATACCTAAGAGCCCATTAACTATTTAATATCATCACAAAGGTAGCAGCAATCAGTGGGTTAAAGGGAAGAAACTAAAGATGGGCCTATTGAAAGTTACAGGAAAACAAACAACAAACAAAAAGTATCTTGTTATATCAGCTCGCTCCAGTGAGCAATCCTTCCTGTTGTTGATGACAGTGTAAATGTCCCTCTGTGTAAATGAGATATCACTTTTTCCAACAGGAATAAAAAGCTCATTAAATTATCACCACGGATGCACGCACCAGTTACTAGTAGAGCAGGGGTTATAAAGATTTACATATTTATCTATGAGTCACCTTCTCTTGGCACATTACTGTTGGCCTGTTTTCCAGAGTTTCCAGAACAAAAGAGGCTTGCTTGGAATTATTGTGATGTCAATCCCTCAACAACAATTGATAAGCAGAAAGCAAAAGAGACCTTATCTTTCCTGATAGGTGGCCTTTTCCTTGATCCATCCTCTTCACCACATTTAATAAAAATGAGTTTGGATTTATATTTACCTTTTAATATATCAGCTAATCAAATGAATCACGCAAGATAAATATTTACCAGTTCTGGGAAGAGAGATCTCATTTTACAAGCTTATACAAGCAAATGATGCTTGAACCTTCGAGGGACATTCTCACTTAACTCCTAGGTCTACTTAGAAAAGAGAGAGGTTTTTTGAAATTCATGTTTCACAATAGAATTTGTATTATTATAGCCACAACTTAAATGCAGATAATTTACTATTACTTGAGAAATAATAATAATAATAATAATAATAACAATAATAATAATAAAATCAGGACATGCTTTGAAAAATGTCTGGAGAAAAATACACCAACTGTTAATAGTTCTCTGATAGGGAGAGATAAGAGCAGACTTTTGCTTTCAACATTATTTATTACTATATGTCATTTCTATTCTAAGGGAAATAAGCAATACTTTTTATTTTATTTTTTCTCTTTTTTTAAGACTTTTATTAAAATATAGCTAACATACAATATTAGTTTCAGGCATACACCACAGTCATTCAACATTTATATACCTAAAGAAGTGATCACCATGATAAGTCCAGCAGCCATCTGACACTGTACCATGTTATCACAATACTATTGACTATATTCCCTATGCTGTAGGTACATTATATCCCCAGTACTTATTTGTTTTATGTCTGAAAATTTGGACCTCTTATTCCCCTTCACCTTTCCCCCACCACTTTTTAAGTTTTTCAATTACAGTTGACATTCAATGCTATTTCATAGTAATTTCAGGGGTACAGCATAGTAGCTAAACATTCATATAATTTAAGAAATGATCCGCCACTTCTTATACATATATAGTACCCACCTGGCACTATATATAGTTATTACCATATTATTGGCTATATTTCTTATGCTTTACTTTACATCCCCATGACTATTTTGTAACTACCAATTTGTACTTCTTAATCCCTTCACCTTTTTCAACTATGCTCCCCAACCCTCCTCCCATCTATCACCCCAATTACCTGGCACCAATGCAACACCATACATAGTTATTACAATATTATTGACTATATTCCTTATAGCTATACCCTACATCACCATGACTACTTTATAACAACCAATTTCTACTTCTTTAAGATTTCTATTGGGGACTTGGGGCAGGGGAACAGCATTAGGGAATCAGGGAAGGGGAACAGACAAGTTACTGTCTTTTTTGTACTTCAGTCTAGTTCTGGAGGACCTTGCTTCACTGGCCCATGTTGGTA